TTAGGAGCTAAAGGACCATATTTATAGCTGATAGGAAAACCCTAGTTAACCCTAATTTAAATTTAATACTATTATTTCGAATTAGGTAATTATCCAATCTCTTAATTATCTTCAAGGGATATTCTAGAAACCCTAAAATATATCTCCAAAACTGTCCACCACCTTGGGAAGGTTTTGTAACCCATTTTGTTCAACTATTGAACAATTACAATTTAGGTCCTTGTACTTTTAATTAATATAATTAATCCTAATTAATTTATGATTAATTCTTAATTAAATAACACTATTTCTAATTAATATATTATTCACATAATATATTAATAAATCATTTATTGCTATTTATTAATCATATATTAAATCAATAAATTAGTGTCCCTCTCTAAAAGTCATATTATTCAATTACTAGGTTTGAGGGCAATCCAAAAGGACTTTGCTAATAGTTCATATATATACCGATTTATTTATTGGATTAGACGCCTAATCTAACAAAATCTTGTACTAAAGTTGGAAAAGATGTGTCTTACAGACTACATGTGCTCAGAATGAGGCAGTAAGTGCTTGACAACCCCCATTGGTCTCTGTAGTACCAACATGAAGTTAATAACAATTATACTGTATTAATAACAAAACAAGTAACATATTACCTTGACTTGATCACACATTAGTGTTAATCCTTGTTCATTTCCTAGATAAAGATCACCATTTAGTTAATCCAAAAACCATTTCCAGTTCTATTTGTTTTCTACAAAAACAACATACCATATAATTTTCAACCCTCCCTATAACAACAAGTAATTCCAGGTTACCAATTCCTTTGAGAAAACATCCATCTATTCCTATTACTCTTTTGCAACCATTAATCCAACCCTTTTTCAGACCAACACAATATACTTAGAGTTTACTGAAGTAATTGGTACCATCTGACATTGGCTTAACATCTATTTTGACAGTTGAACCAAGGTTTGATATTCTTATCTCCTCTGTATAAGACCACAACCTAACATAGTGTTCCATAATATCACCTTCAATTAGAGTCAAAGCATGGTTCTTTGCCTGTTTGCATTGCCCAACACTAACCTCTATTCCAAACTATTTCATAACATCAATTTTAAGTTATTTATGACTCAGTTTCTACCTATGCATAATATGCTTTGTGAAATGACATCTAATCCAGGCATAGGTTACAATTGACCCCAATCTTCAAATTCATAGCACAATTATGATCATACCTCAATGATTTAATTTGGAAAGATTATTCATCATACATCCAAGTTACCAGAGTTTGAATGAACAATCTCCATCAAATATCATTTTTCTTAAAATAAAACTAACATCCACTAGTAATATATAGTTACATAACACGCGATTCAATTGCTTTGGATTCTTAGATTTTATTCCCATAAAAAAATTTCTATTTTTTCCATGACATTTCCTTATTAAATGTGGAATGTACCTTACCCACAGGGTTATTCTCACATCCCTCATCAATGCAAATATCACCAGCTACTTACATTATGTGTATTAGCTTCTACTTCAACTTCTTTATCCATAAATAACTTACTAAAAAAAACATCATTCATAGTCTTGTTTATTTCATAGTTTCCTTCATCCAAGTCAAATGAAAATTTGTATATGTTTATGTCCTCTTTTGTCGGACCACGAGTACTTGATTCTACCTTATCAGGACTAACTATTTCATCTTCACTAGATTCTAACCAACCCCATAAATGGTCACCAAAACGGTCAATGAATGGTGAAGTACCTACTCCGACACCGTGTGAAATATCTATGCACTTGACATAGTCCACATCACATTGTATATGTCGAATACAAAAATGAAAGGGTTTGTCAGGGAGACAGTAGTATATTTTTGCAAAACACTCATCTAAGAAACGTTCAAGTAAAGTAACACTCAATGTAATTCATACCAACAAAATTGTGGTCGGTAAATACGAATTTCTTGCCTTTAGCATACTTGAACGAACATCGAATAAATTACCCGTCAAAGTGTAATCAAATCTATTTGAAAGTGGGTAAGTGAATCATTTTTTTGCTTCAGATAAAACCCTAGATGCGAATCAATATGTGTAAATGAGTACTCTGAAAGGGAAATCGATTTTAACTCTCATACAAACTTCATTTAACACGTGGACTCATAATTGCTAATTTGCATGCCATGTATTCTTTATAATCGATAACCCTCTTATTTAATCCATTATTTGAAAATTTTAAGGATCTATATTCTATAACACTTTAAAAAATGAATGGTGACCTTTTAAAACCAAACTTAAAAGTTTGGAGGGTGAGCACAATAACCCATATTTTATTGGATAACTCAAATTAATAGGTCAATAACTCCAAAATAATTTGTTTTTTGAACCGGTAAATACAAATATATATATTTTACACATAAACTAACACCTAATTTCATCTATATCCACAATAAAACTAGATCTTTAAAAAGAAAAACACTAGAAGCCCTAACTCCAAAATAATTAACTAGAATAATAAACTACGATTTTTAAAAAAGAATCCCCTCCCACCATAAATCCGCTCAATTTGAATACTGTAGAGAGCGCAATCATTATAATCGAACATGGCCATTAATGGAGGTAGAGTAAAACCCCCTTCTCACACAAACAAACAAACACAGATTTCGTTTGTTTTTTGTCATCATTTGAACTCTTTTCTTTTTGAATTTGCTTGCCATTCACTCATTATTCGTCACAGTATCATTCCTTCTCCTTTCTTGTACACATCAAACTGATTTGATGTTTTGACTCGTCCAATCAAAACTACCATACTTTTAGATCTGATTGGCGCGCTTAATTGATTTCGTATACTGTTGGTAGAATCGTATCAATTTGGACCTGAGATTCGATTGCAATATGAATATTCCAACGTAAATTTGGCAAATTGTGATCCGAGAAACGATTATTGTGGACCATAAGCTAGGGTTTACATGAAGCTACGAATGTAGAAGTATATGCAAATGCAACAGCAGCTGCAATCGAGTACTGATACAGCTGAAGTTTGGAAGGAGAGGTGTGATCATATGTATCAGCTGCGGCGGCCTGAGCCGGAGATGGAGCCAAAGAGTCGGAAAGTTCCGGTGATTTACTATCTCTGCCGAAATCGACAACTTGAGCATCCTCACTTCATCGAAGTCCCTCTCGTTTCACCAAATGGCCTTTACTTGAGAGGTACGCATACTATCTTACAGTTTGAATCAGCATTCTGCACATCAAACAACTTCATCACGATTTGTTTTCGTAAATTTTCTGTTGCAGACGTGATTGAAAAATTCGATGCTCTGAGAGGGAAAGGCATGTCTTCAATGTATTCATGGTCTTCCAAAAGGTTAAATCATGTTATCCTGCTTGTAAAATTCGCGATTCCTTATCATATTCGTGTAGCTGGATAGATCATGTTCTTCTTGATGATGCAGAAACTACAAGAATGCATTTGTGTGGAATGATCTTAGTGAAGATGACTTGATTTTTCCCGCTCATGGTAACGAATACGTTCTCAAAGGCTCCGAACTTATCAGGGAAGAAAACAATCCAGGTGAAAAATAGTTCGACATTCGTTTGTTAATCAATTAATCGATCATACATTTCAATAACACTAACGTTGAAATCATATATCGTTCCCAGGTCGTTTTGCTCCTAAATTGCAGAATTCAAAACAAGATGACTGTTCATCTTCAACAAAATACAAGATCTACAAGAGTAATGATCTTACTGATGCTTCAACTCAAACAGATGAATTCGTAAAAGTTCAAAAACCTCAAGAAATTTTCACAAGAAGCATAGAGTCATCAACCAATGATTCTCCTCTTAAACATATTCAGACACATTCATCTCCTCCATCTTCTTCCTGTTCATCTGCCGGAAAGGCCGACACCTTGGAATCTCTGATCAGAGCCGATGTAAATAAGCTTTACAGCTCCGTCAAACTTGAAGAAGAACAACAGAGTCAAATCCCGGTCAACACAAAGCTTAGAGCTTCGAATAAGCTCCTGCAACTAATCTCCTGTGGGACACTTTCATCAGAAGACGACAACTTTAGCAGAATCTCATCTTTCAGATCGAGGTCATTAGATTCAAAATATCGATCTGGTTTACTCTCATCATCTGTAATGTTGGGGGAACTCGAGTGTTCATCAGAAAATAAGGATTACTTATTGCTCAAGAAAGAAGCCATGGGTTGCCTAAAACGATCTTCTTCCTACGCTGCTAACAGGTATGTCTTGTGCACCCATTACTTTTATCAAATCCTTCTCCATTTTTACACAAGTTTTGGAATTCAGGATCAATAAGAGAGATTCATTTCTAACAAGGACAAAATGCAAGAAACAATCCAAGAGAATGGAATCATTCAGAGAGAATAAAGAGAATGTCAACAAAATCGAAGAAAGTTAAGTTCTAATTTTTTGTTTTAATTCAACAAAAACTATGTTTCATGTTGTTGAAGACTTGAATTTGTATTTGATTTCTTTCTTACAGGCTTGCTTCAGGAGCTCGAGTCATCATAACTTCATAAACTTGAAATTGTTTTAATTCAACAAAGGTTAGTAATTGTATGGCTATTATTCAAGATGGAATAATTGTTTTGGTTTTTAGTGAGGGTATTTTGGTAAATTGGTTCTTCATATTTGAAAAGCCAAAGTACACTTCAGTGATGGGTTCATGTAGACAAATAGGGTCACCTCTGTTTTTGGGTCTTTCTTTGCATTTTACCACAATGGAATAAAATGAGTTTTGTTCCATTATGGGATATGATCCATTTTTAATATATGTGATATTTTACGACATATCAAATCAAATAACATAAAGGAACTTGAATAGTACTTTTTCCTATGAAGTAGCATTGACTAATGAGTAATGACTATGTGTGTACTTTAGACTAAATTCAACTTGTACTATGTGGGGTGTGACAAGGGAATAAACCATCCTAATTATTTTGTACTTCTTACACATGTTTGCCTTTTTTGCTTTAAAAAAAAAAAAAAAAAAAAAAAAACTCTTTAACATTTTATTATATAACACCACCTTTTAAACCCTTATATTTGACTAATTACAATCCTCCTCAGAAGCCGAAGATGTGAATTCAGACGAAGGAGCTCCTCTTATTTGTCGTGTATTATAACAATTACACTTTTCACATTTATGCCCCACTATGTGAAATTGCACTCTTGATATCTTCTCACAATCATTGCATAATATCCACACCTATTTCATAAACAACCACAACACCCCATTTCAATTTTAGTTTTTTATTCTTGTTTTTTGATCTAAATGAATGTACTTACCATTTTGTTTCTATACGACTGGGGCATAGGTGTCACTTCAACCTAATTAAGAGTAAAAAACGTTATATTTTTTTCTTTAATCTTTTTTTAGTTTCTAAAAATGGTAAGAAAAAAAAGGCTACCTCATGATCAAGCTTTCTCCAAACATCCGATAAATCACATACGGATTTTGAGCAAACAGGGCAAGAATATCGATGATGTTGTTCCATTTCTTTTAAGCAATCCAAATGCATTGTATGCCCACATGGTAAAATTGTAAGATCCCTCAATGTATCAAACAAGAACTGCATAGAAAAAATAAAAAAGTCAAACTTTTCACTCTCAAAAGTCAAAATCAAGAAAAAGTTTCTAACTTTGATTACAATTAAGTTATACTTATACCTCAGAGCAAATCGGACAATCGTGGTGCATTGCCCTTTCAACACACACGTGTGTGTCTTTAATCACTTTTGAATAACAACATCCTACAAATATTTATCATAAGATTTCATCAAATTTTTATGAACACAAAAAATAAGGTTTTCATGATATTTATTTATTTACTTACCACATTTGTCACAATGAAAGAAATTCTCCTGTCCGCCTGTTCTACATATGCCACATTGATCACAATGGTATTGATTCTTGGAAACCTGAAAATTTGAATACAAATATGTTTGATGTAGCAAATTAGATAAATAAAGAACTATAAATGATAAATCCATATTTGGAAAACAATCTTGAAGCTTACGTCATCATCGAAGAATTTACATTTCTCACAGAAGTATTTCCCCATGCATACTCCGCAATTGATGCAATTTTGTTGAACCTGAAATTCTTTTTGATGTTAAAACATAATTTTTTTTTTGTTATTGTGATGAATTGGTGTTCATAGTTTATAAGAAAGACTTACATCTTGTTCGGTTTCACATAGAGAACATATAACCTAAAAACAATAAAATGAAAATTTGGATTAGAATTGTAAGATGATAAATCTTTGAATGAAAACTCAAAACAAAAAAACTTACCTTCTTAACTTCATGTCGAGGAAGATCATGGCGAAGAACTGGATCAATGTCAATGGAATTCTGGTTTATCAAATGAAATAGAAGTTAGCAACTAATTAAATTCATGATTATCTAAATTATGTACAATCAAATCATGAAAAATATACCTTGGATTCGTTATGGCAATGGCGACAATTGAAAATTTCATCACAACATGGTGCTTTGAGCTTGCATTTCTTCATGTAATGTGAGCAACTAAACAAAAAAAAAAGAAAAAAATACATGGATCCTAATGAATTTTTGTTTGCTTTTTTTGTTTTGTTTAAAATTTGAATGAAAGTGAAAGCAGAAACATATTACATATTAACATACCCGAAATTGCCTCCTTCAACCTCCATCAAAGACGCTTGAGACTCCATTTCAGAGTTCCTTTTCTTCTTCTCTTTCAACTCTACATGTTTTTACATGTATAAATTCATTTTTTGCTTCAAATTTCAAAACAGATGACTAATTCACTACGAAAAAGCTTACTAATCACAAAATTAACAAAAAAAATTCAATAAAATTTGAATTTCAAGGCGAATTCACAATCCCTAAACAAAACTCACAGTCGATAATTACACGATGTTCAGATCTTAACACAGAACCACACGAACAAGTGTAGAAACAGCTTTGATTTATGTTAAAAACATTTACCTCAAAAACACGAAAGCTGAATCGAGTAATACAGATAGAATTAGATGTTGCAATATCGATGTTTGAAGATATGTAAACTAAGTAAATCGGGTGATATACAGCTCGAAATTAGGTGTTTGATGTGTGTAATCGATGAATGTAAATGATCATTATAAAGCTGGAAATTTCTAAGCATTGATGAATGTACGCGGTTACATACCTGATTTAGAAGAAATGGAAGCGATAAGCGATAAGCGAAAGAAGAAGCGGCGATCTGTTGCTTGTTGAAGTTATGTTTTAGTGAATGGAATTTAAATCGGAAAGATAGACCGAATGGAAAAGTGCATGATTGCGTTTGATAAAGAAAAATAATATATATACAAAAAAAAATCTCTAGTCCCATCACATGATCGAATGTTTGGCTTTGAAATCCCACTCGTTTATTTTTTGGTTGTGTTTACACGCCCTATATTTTTGTAGGGTTAATTGTATCTATGTATTTGATTTTTTAGATTTATTACCTAAATGGAATTAATATTGGTGCAAATTGAGATTTAAATCGTTATATAATACAAGTTAAGCGGTATGAACTATGGAGTATATATTTAAATATAAGACGGATTCGATCTTAAATATAACAAAAGACGTCGTTCAAGATGGCTCGTGTCAGGGTTTAAGAGGTAGAGCTCGCGGTTGCTGATACACTTATTTTGGATTGTCTTTGAGTCTTGTTAGGAAAAGACATATAGTTAAGGAATAAGGGGATATGATATGATTAGGGTTTGGTCACGAACAACTTATGTTACTTGGCATCTCGAGCTGTCTGGCACTTGGAAGCAATGATGACGTAGAACTTTTTGGACGATTCTTTAAGGCAGTTCGAGTTGTCTGACGTTATTTTCAGAAACCGATTTAACTGCAAAAAACTGTTATTTTCGTCTATTTGATCATATTTTTGGATGTATGAGTATACTATAGATACTCGTAAATCACAACTTTTAGAAACTTTGAAGGTCTTAAATATTTCACATACTCCCTCGTAACGTTGTTTTCATGTTGTACATAAATCTGAAAATGCCCTTGAGGAATACTGCACATTAAATTTTTCGCTCAAATATACGATAGAAATATCAATACAAAAATTGAACTTAAATGATCATCATGATATAAAACTCCCTTTGATACTCTATTCTAGGGATACAGGAGTCGAAGCTCCAAACATAATATAATTCGATAAAATAAAACAACAGAAAAAATAACAATTTTATAAATTTAACAATTTAATTGATACATTAAGGGCGTGTTCAGCAAAAAAGTTGATAGCGGGTAGTTTGTAGCGAGTAGTGAGTAGCTTCTAATTGGTAGCGTTTTGTTAAAAGCTATGCGAAATAATATTGGATTTGGAACATTTTGTTTAAACTAAACGCTAGAAGCTTGTAATGTCAAACGATTATTTCTGTTTAAAACATAACGTTTTGTTAACGCTAGAAGTTAAAAGCTTTCAAATACTTCCAAACACTTCGTGCCGAAAATGTCCTAAGTGATTTAATCTTTATTTCCTAAAACTAAACAAAATAAGGCCATAAAACTAATTTTACAACAAATATTCCTTTTTAAATCGTATTCGAAGTGATAAATTTGGAATTTTATCATAAAAGATATAGTAAAACATAGAGTGTTGTTTATATACTCTGTGATGAGTGAGTGCATTTTATGATCATAATACTTAATAAAAAAAATAACATATGCATCACGTTAAAAAATGTCTTAGTAACCAATAAATCAATAGTTTAAGTCTCGCTTGCTATAAAAAAAATATGGTTTAGATCATTTTGGGAAAAATATTTAAAACTTTATTTTGAGATTGACGTATTGGTTTGGCTTTAAGATTATTTCAAATGGTAATGAAAATTTTTATTTTATGTTTGAAAACTTTTACTATGAGGTCAAACCCTAAAATTTATTTGGTAAATGGTTGAATAAAAGAGATTTTTCTTTTCTCTCCTTTCTCAAATCTATATGCATAGTATTAATGCAACCCATTAATTTGACAACACTTACGGTTTTCAAAATGGTAGTGAAATACACATTATACATTATTTTATGTATTTATACGTATTTCTTCTCCTGTGTCATAGAACCATGTCAGGAAGGCCTAATCGCGGGCGCCCACAGAACGAAACGCCCGATGTTGCTCAAATGGTAGCACAACAACTCATGCAAGCAATCCCAAACATTGTCACTCAAGTAACTGCAGGACTTAATGCTAACCAAGGAAGTAGTGGAGGAAACCGGGGAAACAATGAAAGAGAATGCAACTACAAGTCCTTTATGGCCTGTAAACCTAAGGAGTTCCATGGAAAGGAAGGTGCGGTTGGGTTACTGAAATGGATTGACAGCATGGAGTCGGTCCTTCATATTAGCAAATGCCTCGAGCGCAACAAAGTTGAGTATGCATCTTGCCTATTCCAAGATAGGGCATTAACCTGGCTCTGATACCACTTCTGTCACACCCCGCTAAAGCGGAAACGCAAGGTATGACAGCGATAACGGTTTCATTGCAAAAGATAAAGATACATCACCATAGCAGTATTTAAAAGTTTACAACCCATAGCTTCAAAAGAACAAAATACAAGTTTTTCAAAATAACATTGTTCAAAATATAGCTTCATAATAGCTTCAACACGATGCAGCATGCTCTATGATGATGAATCTTTACATCCACTTACTAATTATTTCCTGAAAAAGCATGTAAAACGAGCGTCAACTATGAAAATAGTTGGTGAGTATCACAAGTTTATAAAATCGAGCGTACAATAAGGCTTTTCGTAAATACAAGTACATTGCTTCAATGATAAACAAGTTGATTGCTATTAATGAATACAAGTTTATTGCTATAACGAGAAACGCGTTTGTATGTGTATGAGCAAACAATGAGTCTCAACCAAACCTATGACTGAAGCCCTATCGAGATCTATGCTTATCGTTCCATAGATGAATATGGTATCATGCACTCCAGCGATTCGGGCGAGTGAGGAGTTGTCAATTCCTAATAGCGCTATCCATAACGACCATTGGCTCAAAGAGTTAATGGTTAGAGATAAGGGAAGGGCCTTTGTACGATAAGTTCTCATGTTCCGTGTTGCATAGACATACATAAAGAAACATAGCAATACAATAGCAATCATGTTTGATACAATTCAATTTAAGTACAACATGCAAACAATAGTTTTTCTGGACATGCTTTTCCACCCCAAAACATAAAACTGAAAATAGGGGAGTGCGTGAATACTCACGATGTTTTGTGTAGACACAAGCGGTACTTCGGGATGCACCAACGTCTTACTACCGGGATCCTACGACACCAAACACACGCACTAGTGAGTTTCCATGTCGATATCTAATGCTAATATACTAAACTCTACATATAGGGAAATGCCAATTTATGTTTTAGTATTGGATTTATATCATTTTGTTACACTTTTTCTGATGTATTGAAATTTTACAAGTCGTGCGATTAATTACAACCTTGGAAGGTTAATTTTCCAAATTTTAAGTCTCAATAACAACATAAATTCACGAAAAATAGTATTCGAGGGATAAAAATTCTCAAACTTTTTATTTAACTGTTAATACACAACACTAAGCTGGGAAAATTATAAAAATGGATTTCCAAGCTGAAAAATATATTTTATATTTTTCCCAGCCTATTTATGTATAATAACAATTAAATAAAAAGTTTGGGTAATTTTGGAAACTGTTTACTAAATGCATTAATACTATGCATTTAGATCATTTTTGGTTACTAAACTTATAGTTTTGTGCTTATTTAGTCAGTTAACTAAATGAGCACATAGCCAAAAGTTACCTAACTTTTGGATTGATTATTTAAATTGGTTTTGTGCTCATTTAGTCACCTAACTTTTAAAATTGTGTTCATTTTTATAACTTTATTTTAAAAGTTTAGTAACTAAATGAGCACATAGCCAAAAGTTAAGTGACTAAACTAAAAGTTAGGTGACTAAGGTGCTATTTGTTTTTTCTGAGGCAAAATGTCTGCAGTCTGCGGACCACATCTGTAGACCTCTGCAGTAGAAGAGGTGGACCAAACGTCTGCAGTCTGAAAAAAGAAGACTGTTTGTTTTTTTAACATCTGCGGGCTATTAAAATAAACTGATTTTTTAAAACTTCAAAGCGAATTTTTTATATATTTTTACGACTTTATTATAAATATACAACGAATCTAGATAAACTTTTATGTATTATTATATAAAAAATAAAAATAAAAATGGTATTAATTCATATACATATTTGATAAAAACCAACAACTTTGATTGCAAAGTTATAACTAAACATTATAATTAGTGATCAAAGAATTTGATACATAAATAGATGGAAATAAACTTCGATTTTTTCAAATAAATCTATTAAAAACGTACGATAAATATTTTCTCGAGAAATTGATGATACTCTATTAAATAAAGTTTTACAAAATTTTGGCAAAAAAATATAAGAATATATTATGATTTTTTTTTCATATTTATATAAACAACTTCAACGAATATTATTATAATAAATTTTTATTTATAAATTTGTTAAAAATATCATGTTTGTATCGTCAAATGTTTTTTTTTTAAGTTTTGTAATTTTTTTTTTCATATTGTTTATCATTAATAAAGTTGGAAAAAATATAAATTAAAAAAAAAACTTTAAAAAAATAAAGATATATATGTTTTTTTAAGCTAGAAGATGTCTGAAGATGTTAGAAGACTCTGGTCCACATTTGCGCCAAGAAGAGGGCGCGCAGACATTTTTAGGTCTGCAGTCTTCAAAAAAACAAACAGTCTGCGAAGACTAATGTCTGCGCGGCGCAGACAGAAGACGTCTCGCAGATCTGCAGACAAAAAACAAACACTACCTAAATGAACATAAAAACAAAAGTTTGATAACATTTTAAAACTTAAAATGAGTTAAGTAACCAAATTAGCGCAAAGTCAATAGTTAAATAACCAAAAATAACATAAACCCTAAAAAATAAGATTTGTCGAAGTTATTTTATTTATTTATTTTGAAAAAAAAGTTAATAAAACATACGAATCAATCACAAATTTGATCCTTATTTTTCCAAAAAAATTACAAATTCAATTCAAAATCTCAAATTATTTCAATATTGCTCTTAAGTTTTTATTTTGTTTGTAATATCTATAAAAATCATGTCAAATTTGAACTTTTTAAAACATTTAAAAATCATTAGGTTATTACAATTCGTTTTCCAAAATAGTATCATATCAGAGTTCCTAGAAATCAAACTCATAAATCGAGGAAGTGTACGGCCACGCCTTCGCCTTCCCGCGATCATCCGAAGTACCTAAAACAATAATCGATAAATGTAAGCTCGAAGACTTAGTGAGTTACCCCAAAAACCAACACCATACATATATAACCATATCATTTAAACATATAAGCGAACATCATACATAATGAGCCTTTAGCCTGACTGGACCGCCTCGTAGGCCTTCAGCATATTTGGATCGCTCTCTGAGCTTGCGGCACGTCTGGACCGCCTCGCAGGGCCTACAACCTATCCGGACCACTCGCGGGGCCTTTGGCCTGACTGAATCACTTTGCAGGCCTTCAGTTTATATGGACCACCCTAGGTATGTAGGCCTTCAACACAAAGCAGGACCGCCTTAACCCAACCCCTAATCAAACAAACATATGCACATACATATCATATGCTGGCATATATAACAGTCAAACCGATCTAACAGATCAATAATCATAACAACATCCTATAACCAGGATACAGACCTAACCGGTCACTAACATAGCATCATCCTATATACCAGGATACCGACCTAACCAGGTCACTAAGCATATCACCATCCTAACTATCAAGATGTAAATCAGTAAGCATATCATGCAATAACCCAGATACAAATCCGTAAAGGGTCGACATTGGTGCCTTCGACCCTGATTGTATAGTGAGGACAAACCACCTCTCAACCGTCGAATCGAAATGATAACTCAAAGTCTCGAACTGGTTGGGTTGGGTTGTGGCGGT